CTTGTTCTATTTGAATGACTGCCTAATGAGCACAATTAAGTGTTCTGGAAAATCCATTCTTCATAGTGCTATCCATAATTTGTCATAATCCACATAATCGAAAGCCTTTGCACAATCAAAGATCTTTCTGATATTCTTTGCTTTCAGCCAAGATCTGTCTGATGTCAGCAGTGATATCCTTCGTTCTGCATCCTTTTCTGAATCTGACTTGAATTTCTAGCAGTTTCCTGTCGATGTACTGTTACAGGTGTTTTTGAATTATCTTCAGCAAAATTGTACTTGCATGTGATATTAATGATATTGTTGAATGATTTCCACATTCTGTTAGGTATCCTCTTTGGAATTGACATAAATATGAATCTCTTCCAATCACTTGACCAGGTAGCTGTCTTCCAAATTTCTTGGCATATTTGAGTGAGTGCCTGTAGTGCTTCATCAGTTTATTGAAAGATTTCAGTTTGTATCCTATTAATTCCTGGAACCTTGTTCTTTGCCAGTACCTTCAGTGCACCTTGGAATTCTTCCTTCAGTACCATTAGCTGTTGACCATATGTTACCTCTTGAAATGGTTGAACATCAACCATTTTCGTTTTCTAACTCCAGGTTCTTGGAAATGTCATTATAACACTTGACTTTGTCTCCTCGAGCTGCCCTTTGAAATTTTCTGTTCATCTCTTTTACTCATTTCTTCATTTGCATTTGCATCTCTACCCTGAAGAGCAAGTTTCAGAGTCTCTTCGGACATCCATTTTTCTATTTTCTTTCTTGTCTTTTTAATGCCCTTTTGCTTTTTTCCTATATTGTGTTCTTTTTTTTAAAGTTTTTATTGTGAACTGAGTGATAGTTTACATGGGAGAACATCAGCTTTACACCATCGTTTCATTGCAATGAGTACAATCTCCTCTGTGCATCATCATTCAACAGTATTTGCTTCTGTTTTTTTGTTTGTTTGGTTTTTGGTTGGGGGAGAAGGGGGGCTATACACAGAAACACTCAGGAATATATAATAATTTAAACAACCAAAGGGCACATTCTGCAAGTCTGCCTCCTGGCCACCAACTCTCAATCCCTCTTTTTCCATTAATCTAGAGTCTTCAGCTGCTCCCTCTCTCCATGTCTCCTTCTCTGGTGTCGCTGATTCTCTGGATAGGGTCCTGTATTCTGCTGTGCTCTTCTCCCTTGATGGTCCTAGGGTCCTTTCTTTCTGTATTGTAAGATAAACTATTCCCCCACTTTTTTTTTTTTTCTTAAAAAACTTCTACCTTTACAGTTCTGACAGTCGCAATTTGTCATGAAAATAATTACTCATTATTGAATCATAAGAATCTTATTCCTGTTTCTTTTTACCAGGCTCATCTAGACAAGATGAAAACTGTTCATTGGGGATTCTGTCTTCCCCCACATACTCTGAAATGAAGCTGTTTCTTGAAAACTTGTAAGCTGGTCACTTTGTGCCTTTATCACCCCCTCATTTTAGGTAATCAGTGTCTAAGTTGCCCGTCCCTATCTACTCTGTATACAGAGAGGATAGGATTGATAGTTGATGTGATGACTCCTTCCCTTTCACTTTTTATGTTGAGCTACTACATCCATAAGTATAGGTCAAGTTCATCAAATTGTAGCAATTTACACTTGTTTCCTTTATCCAAAAAATAGTTGTTTTTTATCTTCTCTAGTCGAGTTCTGATTACCAAGCCATCAAGGCTAGGTCAAATGGGTATGATCTTCAAGTTTGGGTGTTCTTGTGCATCTCCCGTCACTTCATACCAGCTGGATGCTTCACTCTCGGCTTTAGCTCTCCATGGCTATGTCCTTGTCCATGGGCTCAGGTGTCCCCAGATTATATTGTCTTCTTGATGTCATCCATCACTCATCTGTCAGTTTGTCATACTGTGGTGGGTTGTGGTGCTGCGATGCTGGAAGCTATGTCACCAGTATTTTAAACACCTTCAGGGTCACCTGTGGACAGGTTTCAGCAGAGCATCCAGACTAATGTAAGTCTGTACTAGGAAGAAGGAGAGACAGACTGCTTCTGAATGTTTAGCCATTTACCAACAGGACCTGATTACTGGGGACACACCACCTGAGTACAGCCTTGGTCATGATGAGAAGTGCTCCCCCGGCACCTTTACTTAGTTGGTTGTAAACTGCCGAGAGTCTGAGGCAAATGGCTTCCAGGCACGTCTGTAGCTGCAGGTGTTTCCTTTTCAGTGGTGGGATGGGGCTAGAGGGACCTGAGGTAGGCAAATGGAGAATGAGGATGAAATGCCACAAACACAGGTTATATTTGTGTACCAGCGCTTACTGATTAGGATATTTGTATCTGGGGATGTGAAACCACGTGTTGATAGTAACCGCTTGTAGTCATAGAAAAATAACAATAATCTCTTATCTGAATATAGTTTCTGTGAAACTTTCAAAACTGAATTTCATCGTTCTGACTTTTTTCTTTCTTTCTTTTTGAAGGAAATATTATCAAGTTGACTGGCTCCCTTATTCTGGGGTAAGTGTCAACTGGGAAATGCTAATTGGCTCAGTGACATGACAACAGAATCTCAGTGGAAGTGATTGACGGGTGGCGTGGGGGAGTACAAAGGGAGATAGATTTTGGACTTAGAGGGGGATAAGGACTGGATTGCTAGTGAAAGGTCAGTGGTTCAAACCCACCAGCTGCTCTCAGAAACCCCATACAAGGTTGCTATTGGTTGGAACTGACTTATAACAATCATTGGTTCTACCACTTAGATGTTACCTTGACCAAGTTACTTACCTGTTTGGGACCTGTTTTCTGGGTCCTCCTCCAGCAGGGGCTGTGGGGAAATTATCTGACACATACATAGCTGCTTCTCAGTGTTTCAGATCTCCACAGTGTGCTGCATGTTTTGTCTTAGGTTATAACATGGGTGAAGAAGGTACAAACAGCACAGCATTTTATGCAAATAGCATATAGTTTTTGGCCAACCATGTCCTACCCTGTAAGGTGTTTTCGGAAGTATGTTTCATTAACTTTTTTTTTTTGAAACTTTTTCTTGTGACTTGAGTGAAGATTTACAGAGCATCTCATCAGTTTTACCTTCAACAAATCATTCCCTTTGTTTCATTTCAATGATTGCAATCCCCTCCCTGCAACTACAGTTCCCCCACCTCCTCCCTGTGGGCCCTAGTTCCAGTCCACTCTCCTTCCCAGCCCTTCTTGACTCTGTCCTTAGGGAAATAGTGCCCTTTTGATCTTCAGTAGTTGACCATTTCATGACGAGCATACCTTCCTAGTGTCGTTGTCCCCCCATATGCAGAGGGCCACAGTCTCAGGATCTTCCAGACTCGTTCTGACCAGTAAGCCTGTTTTTGTTTGTTTGTTTTTTTAAATGAGTTATAGGCCACACTTTGTCTCACACTCTACAGGACCTTCTGATGTGTCCCTTTCAGAGCAGTTGGTAGGGGTATCCAGGTACCATCTGGTTCTTCTGGGCTCAGACTTGTGGTGACTGATGTTTGCATGCTCCAGTGGTCCACTGGCCTATTTGATTCTAAACATCTTCAGATTTTCATTACTCTTCTTTCCTGTACACATGGGAAGATCAGTCGTTGCACCTTAGATGGCTGTTCATGAAGTTTGAAGATACTAATCACTACTCACCAAAGTAGAATGTAGAACATGGTCTTTGTGGACTATTTTATACCAGTTGATCATGGTGTCCCCGAGACTATGGTCTTGGGCCCTCCGCCTAGTTTTGCAAATTTTTTACAGCAACATGGGCCTGTGCCAATAATGTATCTACGAGTAAAGCATGTCCAAGTGATGAAATGAAGAAAAGCAGTCTGACAGAATGCATTTCTTACTTCTTCAAAAATATGGCAGATAAACTTTTTTTTTTTTAAATCTTCATTAGATGACTCCTAAAAGAAATATCATTCCTGTGTATTCTTCTATTACACAAGACTGAGTATTCTACAAAATTCAGTCAGAAAGCCACATAGTGGAGCACCAAATACTTACCCCTTAGAATAAATCAGGGAAGAGGGACATATTGAGAACCAACTGCCTGCTAATAACAGTGTCTGCCTTACTAACACTCAACAACATTCAGTTGATTTAGCTGTTTTCGAACCTGGATTTGCCTTGGAAACCCTGTACAGGGTCACTATGGGTTGGACCATCATCTCAACGGCACTTAACAACAACTCAAACATTGATCAGTTAAGACTAGTTTCATAAGATTTTTGCAAACATGTTTTTAAAAAAGTCTTTATAAAATGAAGAGTCTTTTTCTGATTCCTTTTGAAAATTTTTTCTAACGACAACATGTGCAGTCTGAGAAACTGGTTGAGCTGTGTTACCCCTATAGGATCTTTTGCTTCCTAGTGGAGAAGTAATCGCATTGGATTTGTCCTTAATTAAGCTGAGTTATTATTTATTTTATGGCTATTTGTGGTAGATTCATTTACACCACCTTGCATTTATTTAAACTTTTGTTGTTAATGTTAGGTGCCATTAAGTCGGTACCAACTTATAGCAACCCTGACACAACAGAACGAAACACTGCCCTGTCCTGGGCAAACATCACAATTGTTGCCACACTTGAGCCCATTGATGCTGCCACTTTGCCAATCCATCTTGCTGGGGTCTTCCTCTTTATCTCTGGCCCTCCACCCTATGAAACATGATATCCTTCTCGAGCGACTGGTCCTTCCTGACAATATGTCCGAAGTATGAGAGATGAAGTTGGCCTTCCTGGCCTCAAAGGAGCACTCTGGCTGCACTTCTTCCAACACAGATCTATCTGTTGGTTCTTTTGGCAGCCCATGGTACTTTTCAATATTCTCTTCCAACACCATAATTCAAATGCATCAATTCTTCTATGGTCTTCCTTATTCACTGTCCACGTTTTGCATGCATAAGAGTTTATTGAAAATACCATGACTTGGGTCAGGCGTACCTTAGTTTTGCTCTTCAACACTTCAAAGAGGTCTTGTGCAGCAGATTTGCCTAATGCAATACATGAATATTGATGGTTGATCCAAGAAGAATGAAGTCTTTGACAACTTCAGTCTTTTCTCAGTTGGTAAGAATGTTGTTTATTGGTCCAGGGGTGAGGATGTTTATTTACATTGAGATGCAGTCCACACCGAAGGCTGTGCTCTTTTATCTTCATCAGTATTTTAAGTCCTCTTCACTTTTAGCAAGCAAGGTTGTATCATCTGCATATAGCAGATTGTTAATGCCAATCTTTATGCCACATTCTTCTTCATATAACCCAGTTCTTGGATTATTTGCTCAGCATACAGATTGAATAAGTGTGGTGAAAGAACACAACCCTGTCACACACGTTTCTTAATTTTAAACCATTCAGTGTTCCCATGTTCTGTTCAAACAACTGCCTCGTGGTCCATGTATAGATTCCTCATGAGCACAGTTAAGTGTTCCAGAATACTCATACTTTGCAGTGTTGTCCATAGCTTGTCATGATCCACACAATCAAAAGCCTTGTGCAGTCAGTAAAGCACAGGTAAACATCTTTCTGGTGTGCTCTGCTTTCAGTCAAGATCCATCAGACTTCAGCAATGATATCCCTCATTGCACGGCCTGTTCTGAATCTGACTTGAACATCTGGAAGTTCTCTGTCCACAAATGTATTCTTGCAGCTGTTTCTGTGTTACCTTTAGTAAAACTTTACTCTCATGGGATATCAAAGATACTACTGTCCTATGATTTTTGCATTCCATTGGGTCACCTCCATTTGGAATGGGCACAAACATGGATCTTTTCCAATCAGTCGGCCAGATAGTTGTCTTCCAAATTTCTGGGCAGAGATGAGTGAGTGCCTCCAGTGCTGCCTCACTTCCTTGAAAGATTTCAGTTTTTGTTCCACCAATTCCTGGTGCCTTGTTCTTTGCCAATTCCTTCAATGCACCTTGGACTTCCTCTTTCAGTATCATTGGCTCTTTTTTTTTAATTCAATACATTTTATTTGGTTTGTCTAATTTAGAATCCTTTTATCTTACATGATTTTTTTTCTTACACCTAAATTACTAATTTGTAATTTTTCTCATAAAAAAGTATTGAAGTTCTTTATAAATTACGTTCTCTGATTTTCTTGTTAGCCTGCTTCAAGGAAATCCTTGTGTTCAGTATACTTGCTCGCAGTTTAGCCCATATCAAATGATTGTGTAATACAACATCTGAGCAGCAAACTGAGCTGAACCTTTGAGAGAAAGAATGGTTGAATAGCCGAGACCACTGGATAGTCTTAGAGAAGACCATACACCCTGAGCTCCCCAGCAGTGAGGGGAGGACAGCGGACCACTGGATATGCAGTGTTACCCGACGTCACTGGTTCCAAACCATTGCTGCTCCCACATATGTGATCGGAATGCCATCTCCTTCATACTCTTTAATCCTCAGAGGTTCTTCTGGTCCTCTATGAGCAGAAGTTACCTGAAGTTCACATGGAATGCCAGAATTTCCCCAAGTCTTCTAGATTTTTTCACAGTGACAGAAATCAGAGGTTGAGCCTATCAGTACTACAGCCCTGCAGTGGCTTTTTGATTTCAGAAGTAACTATTCTTTCAGCAGCCCACTCAAAATTTTTCTTTACCATTTGTAGCCCTTTAGGAGTAATATCTTTGAGGTCATGATACTACTGTTTATCTTTTTGTTGGCTTCTATCTCCTGATGGCCAGAGTTTCCAGGAATCGTTGTCAATGACATCAGCAAGAACAATTTCCTTGGTTATATCAATACCAAATTCTATCTTCGTATCAACCAATGTACTGTTGTGGGGCAAGCATGAATTTTCCAGTATTTCACAAATAGCCTGTGTGGCATGATTCATGATACCCACTTCAGTCTGGCCTATAACAAGTCCAGCAAAGCAAAATTTGCAGCAATAAGCTGATCCTCAGTTCACTGTGGATCATTATTGGCATCATCTTTGAAAAACATTTCCACTTTCGGTGGGTAAAACTTATATCCTTCCTGGACACCAGGGTTTTTTTTGAGAATAGAACCCATTGCTGTTCTACACACCCATTCAGTTGGAATCATTTCACATTGTGTGCAATGAAAGCTGTTTCCCTACATTTTTTTGGTGAAAGCAGTTTTGATATCTGATTCCTGTGACAACTGAAAAATACAGCTGGTAATTTTATTTGAAATTGCAGCTTTTCCTTCCAGGTGATTCTTTTTAGCTACATTGCCTGCTGTAATCTGGTCCTTGGACTGAAGGAGGGCTTTTTCCTGGAGTATCTAACAACACATAGACTTATTTTGTTTTACTCTTATAGAGTTTTTGACCTGTGTTTACAACCTCAGAGGTCATCATTTTCTTGGGTAGACTCAGGGCAGTGAACGCGCTAGGCATACAAGCAGGAATCTCTCATTGGCTTGTGATCATATACTACCTCTTGAAACGGTTGATCTTCAACCATTTCCCTTTGGCACAACGACTCTGTATCATTGCTGATGCCCAATGGATCTTGGCTGAAAGCAGAGACTATCAGAAAGATGTTTACCTGTGCTTTATTGACTACGCAAAGG